TATTTTTTTACTTAATATCAATATAACTAGAGTGATGAGAGTGTAATAACCTAGTAAAGTAAATAGGTTGTCAACTCTCAAGTAGTAAGTCTAAGATTCAATTTCTATAGATAATGAATTTTGGAAATTATATCTGTGTTATGATAACTGTCTCTTGCCAATTGGTTGAGTTTTGAACATCTGTAATCTTAGATACACCAAGTCAGGTCCTACCTGATATTAAAAGTTTATAGCATCTATGTAAAGTATAATATTATATATATATAGAAAAATGTAAAAAACTGATGTTATATAAGGCTTTGGTGCAAACCCATAATAAGATCACTGGGCATAGAAGGCTAAGAAACTGAGAAGATGAAACCTACTTGAAAATCCTAAGTAAAGAGGTAGCATAAACTTTTGATAGTGTCATTAGACTAATAAAAGTTCATAAAACACCTTTATAGAACTGTTAGATAAACCAGATAACAAGATATGTAAAGGAGCATATAACCAACCAGGCTGTCAAAATTACTAAAGAAAAAGAATACATAAGTATACCATATTGGGCCATCTAGATTGAAAGTCTGGAGAGTCAGTTAGTTCCAAATTGCAGCTAATAGGAAATGATAGAAAAGAAATCAAAAAGATAGGTATCAAGATTTGGATGAATTTTACAAAAATAATAGCAGTTTAATAGGTAACTCTAACTGCAAGTATTGGTCTTGGCTATATTATTAAACCAGATTAGTAGTAAAGAGAAATATGGCTTATTTTGGTAGGTTTGCTTTAAGAATAAAAATAGTTTAAGAATTATAGTTCTATGGTTAAATGCGAATAGATCTAGATCTGTAATCTGATAAAATTAATACTAAAGTTAGATTAAAAGTTTAAATAGAACATCTAAGCAGGGGTGTTAGATATAGCAACTAGTAGGAAACCTTTAGGCAGACTCCTTAAATAGGTAATATAAAAAAATTATATATGTAGCCAGTTGTATACTCATCTAATAGTTTAATATAGATATGTCTGTATAAAACATATACCTAATATAAGTATTAATAAAAAGCTAGAACCAAAGAGGTCATCTTAATACCAAAAAAAAATAACTGAAGTGATGTATATTTAACTCATATGGTATTAGTGGGTGCATGCTATAATGTTTTCTAATTAATTTCAAAATTTGTTCATAATATATTATTAAACAAATAATATATATTTGTAAATCTCAATTGTATTTTGTTGAATAAAACTTGGCATCAATAAAATCAAATTCATTTGCTACTTGATTTGCATTATAAGTTATAGATATTAGGTTTAAATGTTTTAATTTTTTATATTTTTCTACTAATTTTATTTTAGTGCTCTTTCTATATGCCAAAGACAGAATTGAATTTTTAAAGATTCTCATACATTAGTCACTACATTTATTTTTCCGAAATCTTTATTCATAAACACAAAGTCTAGTTCAATGTCACTTTTTTTATTGTCATTAAAAATTATTTCAAAATCTTATAGCACTTTTCTGTACTAGTATTTATATTTTCTATTTTTGTTGTATCAATTACTATATAGGCAATTGGGAAGTCAGCTTCCTTAATATTAACTACAACACTATATAATTTATATTATTCTTTTGCAGTTCTGTAAATAGCATTTATATATATTTTCATTATATTAATATCTTTAATGTTAATATGAAAATAAGGTTAGTATAAAACACAAAACATTAATTTATATATGTTTAATATATATTATATGAGTGCTGTTAATAGAAATAGGACTTTAGTTTATTATTTAATAAACCAAAGTAGCATTTTTCTTGGTAGCACTTATATATAGTACAACTATATAGCATTCATAAAAATCATTAAAAAAGTTATAGACATCAAAATATATAAATACTTAATCTTTAATTTTATTTAATAATAGTATAATAAATTCTATAATGACTGACTTTGAATTTTAGATATATAAACACTAACAAAAGCCTAAATTACTGTGTTTATTAAGCAGTCTAAGTGCTAAGTCAACAGGGTCATTGTGATGCTAAAATCTATTCTGATTTGCAATAGATTTCTAGTAATATATTCACTTATATGAATATTTTAAAACATTAAATTCTTTTTGTTATAAGTAATTTATTAATTTAGTTGTAATAAGATATATATGTGTACTTATTTCTTCTCTTAGTTTATTAAGTATCTTAGCTATAAAATCTGTGCATAAATAAAGAAATCTATAGTATATATTCATTGCTACAATGTTAAATATTATGTTAACCTTTACTTTGATATTACCTTCACAATTATAGTATGCATGTTATTTATAGTTTAAATCTTTATATACTTTACATTGTACCTTATTTAACTGGCAACATAAGTATGTAAATATATCAACCATGCTAAATTTTTTTGATAAATTCACTTTTTTATAACTAAAATAATATTTTTATTAAATATTAGAAGAGAAAAAAAATTTTAAAAATTAGATAGAAAAAAATTAGCACTTATTTTTATAAATAGTTATTACTATTTTCAATCTCTATAATAACAAAATCTGCTATTTCTTTTAGTGTCAAGTATTGAACAGCTATATTAATATGCACTAACAAATTGGTCTGGTAAGTTCAATAAATTCTATTTTCTATTTCATTAACTTTTGCATCATCTATTAACTCTTAGATTTTATGTTTAACAAAATCTTTAACTTCAAAATAGTTAATTGTAGTATATACATCAATATTAACTTGTTCTTAGTCAACATTTACAATTAGTTCTTGTTTATTTTGTGTGTGACTTATTTTCTTATTCTGTATATGATTCTCACTCTTTTTAGTACAATTATTTTTATATATAATGCATGTTTTGTAATATGCATTACCTTAAATAAACTATTTTTCAAGATAATTAACTCTATAATCATTGCAACTGACTATTTTATAAGTGTATGCTTGGTGTATAAATGAAACTTTAGGTATATAATCTCAAGGTTATAGAAGTATCTAATAGTTAAATGTTTATTTGGTATTTCATTTATTGCAATAAATATTTATAAAAAGTAGTTAACATATGTGTCATTGTGAAAAATTAGGCAAGTAATTATTTACAATACTTAATGAAAGAATATAAAGTATGGGTAATTATTTGCAATGTTTGATAAAAAATAGACAATATTAATTACAATATTAAGGACAAGAACAATTATGATTTGATCAATCAAAATGTGAGTCATTCAAAAAACATCCAACAATTATTATGAGTTTCTCTATTTGTAAAATGCTATTTTCAGATATATTTTCATACTAAAATAAGTATTTTAAAGATATGTAGTCTTTTTTTTATTTAAATTTATTATTATGCTATAAATTTGGCTAAATTTACTAACTATTTCAAATGTAGGTTGTTTGGTGCAATAATAGTTATTTCAATCTAATCCATTTGGAGCAAAGAAACCATAATAATAATTACATAATTTAATATATTATATATTAGCCATTTTATACAAACAGTTATTAAATGTAATGAGCTGATTTTGGTTGAGCTAATTTTATTTAAAGACAATTTAATTGACAATTATGATGTTAACAATCTTGATATAATTGTTTAATGATTATTAATAAAATAGTATACATTTAAACACTTTAATTGATATGGCGCCATACATTTAAAATAATTTAAATAACAACTATAATGTTAATAATTTTAGTATAATCATTTAATAATTGTTAATAAAATCGTATAAGTTTAAATGCTTTAATTGATACATTTTATAGTAATTTAAATAACAATTGAGAAGTTGATAATTTCAGCATAACTGCTTAATGGTTGTTAAACACTTTAATCAATACAGCAGTATAAATTTTGAAATAAATAAAATATCAATCAAACATACACACTAATTTCATTTACGAACTCATATAATAAAATTTTAATAAAATAGATGTTTTACTTTTAAAGATTGCAGTGATTTAATCAAATCCATTTATTATGAAGGCAAGTTAAAAGAACGTATGAATACTCACAACAGAGAATTTAATAGAATCAAACAATTTGTTAAATTTTTTACTGAGCTCATGAGTATGAATTACTCGCAAAAATGGATTATATAATTTTACTATATGAAAAATTATGTAAAGCCAATGACAATAAAAAATTAAATTTGTGACTATTATTTTACTGCTGAAGGTCTAGCTAGGTAAAAATTTGTTGAGTTGTTTTATGCGAAAGAGGAATGTAATTCAAGTTTAATGATAATTGTCATTTTTGTGCTACTGATAAAGAAAGTACTTATATAAAAGAAATTTTCGTCTCTTCGATGTAAAGTTTTCTTTAAGTGAATAAAAAATTTCGTGAACAGAGACTCAACATGCAAAATAAGTGTAGTAATATTTTTACGCGTTTGGGAGGATAAAATGGAGTTTCTTCTAATTTCGACTCTCCAACCGATGCTGCGGCTGTGGCGCCGATCATCTGACCGGACTTTTGGTGGTCGCCCTGGCGATCTCATCAGCCGTGACATTTATTAGAACCCTATCAGGAACGTCGTTTTTTTTCTACCCTATCAGGAACAGTACCCAGTAATGGTATTTTTGTATTCCAATAAGGTCAGGTATCAACTTGAAATTATCAAAATCTTGAGTTTTTCGCATTCTAATAATAATCCACGAAATACGTCTAAAATCACATGATGGTGGAATTTTTCTGTCACGACTAGCCTAAGTTTAGCGCGTGAAAATAATATAAAAGACAAACAGTCAACCGGCAAGTTTATTTCACAACTAGTTCAACGATCGCTTCACTCTGCAAGACAGAAGCATAAGACATAATCTTTATAATTTAATATTTTTTTAAACGTTAGATGAGAATGAGTACATATATTGTATAGTAGTCTATAGTAATCTATTTGTCGGCGAAGTGGTTGTCAATAAGCTATTTAAATAAATAAATATGTAAGGATTGAAGTAATATGAACTGTTATACAAGAAATAAAAATACATGTCAGGCGTATTATACACTTTATTAAATCTTTAAATCATCTATTTCATCTATATAACTGTTATTTAACACAGTAGTTGAATTTGATTCGGCGCTTGTCCCAACGATTGATATCCTAATCTCTCGAGTTTTTGTAACGGATATAAACGAACTTAAATCTAATTTTGAACCAATGTCATTTGGAGATATGCCTGATTTACTGCGTGTTCTATTAATACGGAGAAATTTTGGAACAACATTTAACATTGATTTTACAGATACAACATTACGCGTAATTCCGTAAATTATCGAGTCTGTTAAACCAGCGCATGTAAAGATGCATCCTGATAAAATTAAGCTGTTAAAATATATAAATGAAATATTAGCTGTAAAACAACGAGGATGCTAATGCCTTATGCTTTAAAGTTAAAAGGATTCTTACGATACAAACGGCAACTCGTAATTGAAAATGGCAAATATTCGTTCTAAAACAGCAAATGAATAGGTAAACAAAGTGCATCAACTTTTTTTGTCAAATAAGTTATTATTATACTTGCCAATTGCTAATGGTGTTACAAGAACAATATAGGCCAATGGATACCAAATCAATTTCCTATTGACACTTTGTAAAATTCTCTTTGATTCTTGTGCGGACATTTTTCGTTGTCGATTATACAAAACCGCAAGCATAATTGCGTATAGAATGATCAGCAGTGAGGCAATACCTAATATGATACCATAATGAAAACTAATTCTATATTCCACATAATTTTCCGAAATCCAGCACCATGATCCACCAGCAGAATCATAAAAATGATGGCCTGAAGTTTGGATGACAAAGCCAGCAAGAGAAATCATTAAGTTAAGAGACCATATTATAATCATGCTCACGAAGACAATATGTGGGCATTCATAATTGTGAACGACGAGTAGATAGGTATGAATACTGATTACAAACGCCCAAAAACCTAATATAAACAAGTTTACATCAAAGCATAGATCTTTCAATTTACGGTCACTCAGATACCAAAAATTAGGATATATTATCATCGTGAAGATAAATTACCTGAAGATGTATCGCCAAAATTGATCAGAAATCCTTGTATATCGCAAATTGTTCCCGCTTGAATCCCACCAACACTTATCCAATAATAACTGATCATAAAACCAACACTTTGAAAAAAATCTGATAGAAGTAAATTCGTTATCAAGTGAGAGACAGCTGCGTTTCTTGTATGTTTTTGTGTTATTATCCATATAAGCATTAAAATACATGAAATGCTACTCAGCGTGCTGAAGGAGCATACTGCTATCATTCCTTTAACATATTTTGAAGGTTTTGCATGATCAAGGTCACTATTATCGATAATATTATTTAGAGAAGAATTCATGTTGATGTTATTTGAAGTGAAAATTAAGCAAAAATTTGTAAAAAAAAAAGAATTTATTTTATTGTCTATTAAATATAAAAAGCATATTCCCTGCTATCATGAAGATTTATTTTACTCTCATATTATTGTATTATATATGAAATTGTTATTTTAATGCATTATATTTACTAATAATACAATATCGGTAAATTATCGTTTTGCCAATGATACTCGCATCAAATCATCTTTTTTCTTACTAGTTATGTTTGGATAGTCAACATAAGGATTACACTTGATCGTTTTCAATTTACAACTTCACTTTTAATATACACACGGTAGGGATGTTTATTTGGGTCGATCTATTCATATCATAAGGTTGGAATCCGCGGATTCATAGATGTTACCACAATAAAATAAAACACCGGTGATAATATCCTTTATTGGCAAGTTCCCCGAGTATTCAGTCATCACAATTCATTGAATGTGTAGATTGCACCATAATACGTAAGTGTATCTCATTTAATGTTTCGAGCGAATCTAGTCTCGTATAGTTTTATAAATTGTCAATAACTTAGTACAATTTCAGAAATTTCATCTACCGGGCATAAGAAAAGACCATCGATAAATGGTCAAATTACCACGAGCAGTTGAAACAGCCAATACTGCAATATGCAGGGGATTTTTCGAACACGTGATGCAGATTGAAAGGCTTGACAGTTTGGGTTTTGGATTAAGGTTAATGCGAGTTGAAAGCATTATTTAAAATAATCTCTTGGCTAGAACATGAAGGGTTATTTTTTAAAGTGAATTCCGAGATTCAAATGCATACGTACGTACGTACGTATTAAATTTTCACTAACTGCTAATACTTATTTATTACATAGTACCAGGAATATTTCCATATTAGTGTTTATTATAAATTATTGCCTAGAAATTTTTTTTCACGGTTGTGATTAATTTTTATTTGTCATTGTGGAAACCGTGAAGAAGTAAAAAGTTGATGCCAAACGACTTATCCAATAAATCAAACTACTACTCTTTATTTCCCCGTAGTGGGAATAGTCCCAACGTCGCCCATAATCGAGGACACAATTATGTGGTCGATCTAAAACTTTGATTAATAATGCTAATACTGATGCACAAAATGATTAGTAATAATAAGAGTAAAGTCGGAAAGCCATGTGGCCGCACCCTCGATTATGGACAACGCTGGGACCAACTTGCAGTGGAACATAGGGGTTATTTTTCGTTTTGTATGATGTCATGACGATGGTTTACAGCTTTTTTCATATCGATTCATTCATCAGCAATTTGTTCAGATGACCCAGAATTTATGAAAACATATTAAACATTTTTTAATCTCTTCAATAAGATGTGCTTTGACTTTTTTGCGGAAAAATTATATGATCTTGCAGCTCTAAAAAACATATACAGTGGCGATCATAAGTAATGGAGCAAAAAAAAAATTTGGTTAGATCACGTTATTTCGTGCAATTCTGGACGTATCCTTTTGTTTTTTTTTTTAATTTGCTCATAAATAGTTACCTTTTTTGATATTAAATTCTTAATTTAGGTTGTTTTGTCGGTTCGGAAACAATCACGCGTTGTATCATGAAAAACGTGATGCATTACTTATGATCGTTCCCTATAAAGGTCAGATGAGGCTTGTGTATGACATAAATAACAATATAAAAGTAAATTACATTGTTATTTTTGCATCATTGTACAATGCTGAATCTTATCGATAATCAAGTTTTAAGAAAAAATGAACGAACGACTCCAGCCCAACAGACTAAAATTTTACTTTCGCTGCAAAAAGGATACACCACAAGGACAGTAGGTTGTATCCATAAAGTTAGTTCCTTCACCATCTTCCATATTAAAAATAGGTGGTTAAGACATCACAAACTTGATGACTTGGTAAGGGTTGGTCGTCCAGTTAGTTTGGATAAACCAACTCAAAGGAGGATTGAAACCTAATTACCTCCCATCGCTGCTCAAGTACTGTCAAAGTGTGTTCCCGCTTGAAGGAACAAGAAAACATTGACATTTCTGTGTCCACTGTACGTCGTATACTTAGGTTCCACAGTTTGGTGTCAGGTGTTAAAAAAAAGAAGCCTTAGCTAAGTCAACTTCATAAAAAACGTCGGTTAGAATTTGCAAAAAAATATGAAAGTTGGACTTACGAAGACTGGGCCAAGGTAATTTGGTCTGATGAATCAAAGTTCAATATTTTTAGGTTGGACAGCAAGCAATATTATTGGAAGTGTTCTGAAGAACCTTTAAACGACTTCCATATTAAGCTTACGGTGAAATATGGTGGTGGTTCTGTCATGATTTGGGGTTGCTTTATGTCTCATGACATTGGTGGTTTTTGTAGAATCGAAGGCCGTATAGATGGCAAGTTATATCATCAAATACTTCGTGAGGATTTTTTGGGAACCATTAGAAATTGCGAATTTAATATTCACGATGTGATTTTCCAGCAAGACAATGATCCCAAGCATACAGCAAGGTTGACGAAATGTTGGTTGAGGAATAACCACGTTAGGTTGTTGGATTGGCCCTCTTAGTCTCCTGATCTCAACCCTATCGAACATTTGTGGATTAAGGTTGACTGTTGACTTAGGAACCTTCCTGGGCAAATTTTAAATAAAGAACACCTGTGAAACAAGGTCCAGGTGGTTTGGTAGCAAATCGACGTTGAGACCACACCAACCTAATTCGATCCATGCCCGAACGGCTTTGTGATGTTATTAGGGCATGTGGTGAATACACCAGGTGGTAAAAGCCTGAAAAATTAGAATAGAAAAAAACATTTTTTTTTTATATGTAAAAAATTTTTTTTTTGTTTTATGATTGTCTTGCATTACGCATGATCAAAAGTAATGCAACACAGCAAATGAAATAAAGTTCGTTTTTACGAAAAATTGGAATCATTTATTTTTTTTGAATTTTTTTTACATGAAACTTATAGTATTTATGAATAAATTAAAAAAAAAACAAAAGGATACGTCCAGAATTGCACGAAATAACATGATCTAACCAAATTTTTTTTTTTGCTTCATTACTTATGATCATCACTGTATATATTGTATATAATTAAGGGGAATTTACAAATAAAGACCTAAAAAATTAAAATAATTACAGACAGGAACCCAGATCAAAAATAATTATGCATTGGGACCCAAATTTTAAAAATAATTATGCATCGGGACCCAAAAACTTAGATGCATGAAAAATGAATTATTAAACATAATTTAATGATTTCGCTATAAATATAAATTTCATTTAATCGATTAAACCTGTTTTTTTATCTTGTAACCAAATTAAAAGCTTTTATTATTGCAACAATTTACTATCGCTATGTTAAGTACAATACTACAAGTTGGAATGACATTTACAAATATGAAAAGTGTCCGATCAGCTTTAGATAGATACTCTGTAGAATCTTTTTCACCTTATAAATTCAAAACTAATAGACCAAACAAGCTTCTTGTTGTTTGTCCTACAGTCAATATTACTACATGTCCATTTATCATTTTTGCTAATGAACACAAAGATGGTTACATTCATATTGTGAAATTAATTCAACATGATCAAAATTGCCTAACATTCATACAGACATTTAAAGCATGTGGATCATACCTTACAGAGTTTTCTGCATCATTAATTAAAGATATTGTTGCATTTAGACCTCATGATATTGTAAACTATGTTCATTCAGAAGTAGGAGTTGAAACATCATATATAGCAGCATGGAGAAGCTTAACTGCTAATAAAAAACATAGAGCAGAAGAAATAGACAAAAGTTATCAATGTATAAAACCATTACTTAATCATTTACTTACAGCAAATCTGGTGAGTATTGTTTTATTTGAGACTGATGCTAAAAATTGATTTTCCTGTACATTTTTTTGTTTATGATCATGGATTAAGGCTGCTGAATATTGTAAGGCTGTATACATTCTTGATGCATGTCATTCACAATCAAGCTATAAGGGTGTGTATTTTTGTGCAAATACAATTGAAAATAAGTAAAAACTTGTTCTTATAGCATTCGCTATTGGTTCCATTGAAAATTCAAATAATTGGATGTGGTTTTGTAAAAATTTTTATAAAGCTTTTATAATAATTAATTCAAACAAATTAGTAATTATTTTTTTTTTTTTTTTTTTTTTTTTTTTTTTAATGCTAATCATAATACTTTATTTAATTAATACCAGATTAATACATTAGAGTTATTACATTTCATTTGTGCTACTATATTACTATATAGACATCCAACATAACATTATATCTACACTTTTCTAAATTAAGACTAATATTATAGTATTTCAATTATTATTACTAATTAAGATAAGGTTGTAGCCACCTTGTAATACTATATTCCCTAATTCTACCTAACTATAGTCCTCCTATCTACTTCCTGCAGTAACCTATCCCTTCTCTCAAATTGGTTGACTCTGGCAGTTTTTTGCTCTTCTT